CGCCTTATCAATAGATCATGTTGACCTGCGCCTGCGCACTTTCCGTCCTTTTGGCCGAAGAGGCCCACCTCACAGACGCAAATTTCTTCGTGACTTTCTTCGACCTGCCGGACCCGGATCCTGACAGCATGCGACACATGACTGCGAGGACATCGCCACATGTTCCCGGCCTTGCGACAAGGCCAAGCCTCTGATTTGCATGAAGTGAGCAGTAGAGAAGGCCTTGACCACTCTCTTTTTCCAAGTGCAATGAGGCAGAGGCCTCTGAACACTTTGTCTTGAGCCGGTGCATGTATAGAATATGGTCATGCTCCTGCCAGAAGAGACCAGAGAGACATCAAGGATTTGGAGCTGCCCGTTTAACCAATCAATGCTCTCCAATTGCATGTCAGGATGCGTTCTTATCAACCTCGCTACCGCCCCACAGGGTGGGATGGGTTGGCCTGGGTGATATTTCTAAGGGGCTATTAGGTGCACTGTTGGATCATCCGAGTATGTAGGTGAGGAGGCCTCCATCCAGCGAGGATAAGCGCAATTCACTCCTGTGGCATCCTTTTGCATCTCTTTTGCATCCTTTTGCGCATTTTAATTGCGGTTCATGTCAGACTGACACATGAAACCTGGCCGATAAATAGTTTACTTGGCCATCCAAATGGCATCAGAATCAGAAGGCACTTTCGGAGCCTGGTCACACCTCCATTTGCGGGGTCTGAAGGTACTGTTTTCCAAGTGCCCACAATTCATTCCTGTTCTTAGCTGCGGACAGCCGATTTGCAGGCTAAGGTGTTTGGTACTTTGTACAAAAAGGCGTTACGTTTGCCTCACCAACTACTTGTTGACATGCCGAGTTTGCTTGGAAAACTGGATCATTGCAGCCAGATGATTGTCGCGAATTGGGGCATCCATAACTGGAGCCGGAGGCCTCCCTAGAAACTGTACTTTAACTTGTTAAATTTCCCTAAACATCTAGGAACCAAATGATTGGTGCGAGCACTTCTTCAAGGAAGCTCCCCCCCCGCCATTCAGGCGAAGCAGCCTGAGCAATTCGTCGGGGTAGTAGCTACTTAGACTTGGTACTAGGTACTGTAGCTACTCCTCACGGTCTACCAAAAGACAATGTCCTTTTCTTGGTACTGTAGCTACGGTTGGCTCCGAGGTCTGACTGGACCGCACGAAGCTTGTGGGTTGATTGGCATGGTGAATGTATGTCAGAAGCTAAGTGCAACGGACGAACCAAACGGATGACCTGTCCATGAAAGAAAGTTGCTTTTGAGCTTGCGCTTCCCATAATTATTGTTGACAAATGTTGACACGAATCTACATAACCCCCCCTGAAACCGGAGAAATTGTGAAGATTCTGAAGAGCTTCACACCCAGAGGTGTCTTCTCCATTCCTATTCAACTCCTTTTTATTGTTTTTGATCCAAAGGGAATCAAACTAAATTGAACATGGACGCAGAGAGAATCAACAATGATCGAAGGGAATGAGAAGGACATCAAAGCGGTCAACAGTCGGAAGGAATGGACATACATTCAAAAGAAATCATACGTAGTGAAAGTAAAACCAAAGGACTCAAAAGAAATTGAATCTCTCAATGGACACTATAATCATCAAGGAATGGACAGAAATCAACAGGATTCAAGCAGAAACCAAAAGAATGAGGAGGACATCATACAGGTGTTCATATTGAGTTGACAGCTCGACTCAGCATTTTCGAATTGTGCACAGACGAACAGATTGAACGCAAGAAATACCCAACCGGGCAGAAACGCCATTGAGAACAACCAAAAGAGGCCCAATACTGTAGACATACATTTTAAATCTTTATATATAACCACCCACTATATAACCATGTTCTGCGGAATTCTAGCAGTACTCAACGGTCAGCATTCTTATTGCTAGTGAACACGTTCGACAAGCCTTGTTCACTTTTTTGTTTTGTGTGTGTTTTTGACTTATCCCTTGGGTACAAAGGCCCACATGCGACCTCCAATGAAAGCAAATAGTGTGCGTCACGAGGAACTTTAAGCTATCACAGGCAATTCGGGGAGATGATGGCTGCATCACTTGAAGAGCACTGCATGGAGGAAGCACATTTAGAGTCATCGCCGCATGGTGGTGTCAAAATCCGAGAAGCACCTAGTCTCATCTTGTCTCTTGTTGAATCTTTGGGGTGTTTCAGCCTGGGCTTAGGCCTGCTGAGTTTCTTTCCATCGAGCAAAAACTTATGCTCTTGAAAGACCACGCCTCCACCCGGAGTACTGTTCCAAAGGCCTGAAGGGGTTTCAGTACACAGCCTCCACGCAGTTGTTTTTGACGACATCTGTGGGGTGACGTTCATTTTTGTAAAAGACGTGCTGACAGGCCAGTATTGATGTTGCATCTATCAGTTCATGTGTGTGTTTGTCAGCGGAGAGACAATGAATACCAGTGACAAGACTACTCTCCAACCTCCGACCCAGCTTGGCTGTGAACTTGTCCTGCGCCGCCGCCAGGACGTTCTGGCACGGGTTTTTACCCACATGAGGACAGGGATCTCGGAAGCCCTGCGATCGCTTCAGGACCCGGAGGGTGCTTGGTATCTGAAGATGATTTCAAGAGTGGCAAAGGAGTTGAGTTGAGTTGCTACGTGATTGCAAAGGACTAGGAACAAGAAGCTACTAGGGGCTCCTGGCCTTACTACTAGTAACAAAGGACGCTACTAGGATTGTTCCAATGGCCGTGATAACTGATTTGCAGCCTTTGGTCCTAACTTGCCGGGCTATTTCGGACTTCAGAGGTGGACAGATAAAGAGGTGAACCAGGTGAACCACGTGAAGCATGCCAAGCTCATGACTCATTCTCTAGCTATGTCTTATGCTCAAAGACGTGAAACATCTTTCAAAAAGTCCTCACCCTGGATGCCATACCTGGGAGGCCATCCTTGACGATCCATTTCTGCACGAGGACGGACTTTTTCTTTGGGTCGCAATGCGGCGCTGAGCAGGAAACACGGAAACACTCTTCCATGAATTTTGGAGCATCTCCCAAGAGGAGTGGCTTGGACCTCGCTTTTTGGAACACTTCCCTGCCAGTTCAGGGTGCTGAGGCTCGCTCGTGCCTCCGTGCCAAGCTTTTGCCTTCGAATTCATTCCTCGGTCGCAGGGTTGGCCGATCCGTTTAGGAGATGTGCGGACCAAAGGCAGGAAGCCCAGCCAGCTGCGGGGGATCGCTACCACCGAGCCGACTGAGTCTTATGATCTTATGCGCTCCTTTGGACGGTTCTATGGATTCTATAGATTGTAGACAGAGATGTATCTCCGTTTTCACGTGTGTGAGAAAAAGGGGGGGCCCAAACAGGTTTAAACAGTCTCGACCAATTGGCTTTCATATTGAATTGCACTGGGCGATTGTACGAGCATTTGCGCATTATTGAAACACCCACCAAACTAGATAATACTTCACGAGGATAAGGGTTTGTACAGTCTTTCTTTGCGTCTTACCCAGAACAAAGACATTGCAGATCTGAAGCATCCGCATCTTGGTTGACCAATACAATTGGAAAGTGCTCGAATAAGCCAGCGGTTTCTGCCCCTCTTTCAGGCGGTGATGTGTCTGTCAGTTTGCCATGATTGATACACAGACAGAGACGGGACAAAAGGCTTGTGAACGCACCAGCCCCACAAGAAGCTACTAGGAACAAGTGCCACGCTACTAGTAACAAGTGCCTTACTAGTAGTAACAAGAAGCTACTTGGAACAAGTGCCACGCTATGTGAAGGACTTTTCGTCGAAGTCCGAAGCATCCGAATGCTGAGACCATAGCCAGAGCGCACACTCCTCCACTTGAGCAACCACGGGTACAAGTAGTGCCTTCGCGACAAGGAGTGTTGGAAGGTCTGGTGAACGAGGGTGTGCATTGAGTGCAGAAGCAATGAGGGAGGTGTGGTTCTGGGTCACTTGTTTACTGGATGAGTGTTGGTTTCGCAGGTTTTTGTGTTCTTGGAAGAGATTTGATGGCCTTAGCTTTTGACTTTCGACCCATGTCAGCTACTCTGCACCTGCTGCCACAATCTTTTGGACGTTTGGGGGACACATCTGCAGAAGCTGAATGGCATCTCAACATGGAATGACCCAACAACTATAAAACCTACCATAACAAGGACGCTACTAGGGGCTCCTGGCCTTACTACTAGGAGCAAGGACGCTACTAGGGGCTCCTGGCATCGCTACTAGTAACAAGAAGCTACTAGTATTATAACACCTACCCAACCTTTGCCAAGGAGGTTTTTCCAACTTGGTCCCATGCAAACCACATTGACCCGAAGAGACTTGAGGGCGCATGGGCTCATTGCTCATCTCGATGCCTTCTGGAACCTCCACGAAGGGAAACGATTCAAATTCATCTACTTCACTATTCTCATTCTTGTTGACTTGATCTTTCAAAGCATCATTTCTTGATCAGTTCTGGTTTGCAGATTGCTGCACCCTTTGGCATTGCCTGAACACTGGCCCGTGTGCCTTTGCAGTTTGTACATATCTTGTGTAAGTATCCTTATGCTTGTCTAGCTTTTTGTATTTTCATACTTCATACACGTGACATGACGGGCAATGGGTCAACTACACATGGCGTGAGAATTTGTGAAGATAACCCAACTGCCATCATGAACTTTCATGTTCCACCGCATCAAGGTACTGTAGTGCCATCGACCATCACTGTGTGTATCCCAAGGCAAGAGCAAACTGGGCAGACTTGTCCGAAGAGGTAGATAGTGCCTTGGCCGCAAGTTTTGTGTAAAGGAGAGGGAGGTTCCAAAAAATATGGGCTTGAGATGAAGCCACTAATGGACAAGATTCACCGCTCAGAGTTTTGCATATGATATATAAAAAGGTTAAAATATACAAAAGTTATATATATATATGTTCTTTATTTATGCGTTTTCGATGTATACAAAGGTTCAATCATGTCATATTGACCTGATAGTGAAGCCAGGCGAGACAACCCCCAAGGCTGGGCTGAAGCTGAGGAAGCGGACTTGAGAATGGCAGACCAGGTCTCAAGAAGAACAGTGGAAGTCGAACGTGACACATGTGACACATGTGGAAATCGACGACATGTGGCCGTGGACCAGGTCAGGTCTCAGAATTCTCACATGTTCGGCAATCTTCAGGTCTCCGAGTTCCATGTTAAAGTGCTGTAGGTTTCAAGTGGGAACTCAACGTGTATGACCAAAACTTCGCGCGTACCAACGTCTTGTCTTTGACCAGATGGCTTGAGGATTGACAGGACTCAACTCGAAGGCTTGTCAAGACATTCCCATGTTTGTCCGAGGTGAGCTCTGAAAGTGCGGACGCCAAGGATGTAGCGGAATGATTCCTCCTCTAAATTCTAGCTCTAGGTATCTGAGCTTGTGCTCCACATGTGCAATTTTGATTTACATCCCATTTTCTCCAGGTTCGTTCATGCACTGTCTACTCTTAGCATCTATGGAGAATTGGGTTCGGACTACCGGACGCGAGTGCTGCTTGATGCATCGGAACGCAGTGTGCGACGCCAAGGAGCCACAAGCATTTTCAACTCAAAGTCAGAACAACTCGAACTGACCATCTCTGAAGAATGAGTTGGCTGCCCCAAAACGTCCTTCGCCCCGCCCACCACCCCCCATCCCTGCTGGAAAGGATCATTCCCAGTTTCAAGTCAGCTGCAAACTCGCCGACATGTTGCCACGATCAGATACCCAAAAGTGGAAACGGTTCACTCCAGCTTGGGAAGGGGGCCCGGGCGAAGGGCAAAAAGCCAGTAAGGGCTTCCCACCAGCTTTCAATCTACACTGTTGGATTCTTTCGGCGCTTGCTTGCCGGTGGGATTCTTGCACAACTGGCTGGAAAGGGACGTTTGCGGCATAAGAAAAGGGAGCAAGGATATGCTCGGCCACTGAACTTTCTCAGTCCCGTTGCAACTAGCGCCGCGTTAGCGTTTGCAATGGGACACAGCATGTTCCTCGCTTTGGTTTCTGAGGTAACAGGTCATAAATAATTTTGGACACATGATGCCAAGTGTATTGATTGCTTCATCGGTCTAAAGAAGAGGAACGGCGATTGTATATTCTTCCAGCTTTCAAGCATGTGATCCTTTAATTAACGCGGCGTATGAAAAGGACACTGCTTGGAGTTTTGTTACAGGCATCTACTGCAAGAGTGTGAAAAGGGTTGCTTGCGATGCCTATGCGGAATTGGCATTTGGCAGTTCTCATCCTTGGCCGTTCAAACAAGTTTTCGATTGAGTACACCAATCGATGGTTTTGTGGTGGTACCTGTCCTAGTCAAGCAGTGACGCAACAGTCATAGGACTGTGAAGTGTGGAGTTTGGGGGGCATTGAAGGCTTTCCGAAGGGTACCGGGGGGACGGTGGGTCTTCACTGGACTCTGGACCTTGGATGAGTTGGGTCTCAAAGAGTTTTTCATGCTTTTTTGGAGAAGGAAAGGTTCCTATCAAGGATCTTTTTAAAACAGACTCTGGATAAAAATTGACTCTGGGATGTCTTTGGGAATGTTTCTAATTTAAAATATATTTCAACACCAGCACCCCAGCACAGCCCCTGAGCAAAGGCTGTAGATTGTAGCATGTCAGAACACAAGTCAAATCAAGATTATCGTGTGAGAATGAACATGATCAATCGCAGGCGCACAACTGAACCAAAGCGCAGCCACACACTTTTCTCACATAGTCCGGCGGTCTCGGGGTACCACACCAAGGCTCATCAAAAAGTCCGACGCGAGCCCACTCAGCAAAAGCAGCATCTGTGGAAAAGGGCTCAATCCTTGACTTCGCAGACTCAGTACCCATAAATCCTGTCTATGCAAACTTGTCAGTGTCAAGACTAGAGTCGGCCCAAAGCAAAGATCTTGAGGCTGCAAAGCCTCCACAAAACGACTCATCTCCTCCGCTGACATCAGGTCACTCTTCCACATCATAGTGAATGGGTATCGAACACGTTCACCCATGTTGCACAGTGACTCCCCACAAAGCCTTGATCCAAAAACTGACACATGTCAAAAGCAAATGCCAACACATGTCAACATCCAAAAACTGTCAGCAGCAACAAAGCTTGAGTCCGGAGGACAAAAGTCGGATCTGAACCTTTTTGAGCCCAGGGCATCAAACAGTGAGTGCGGGAGCTTGTGCCGCCAGCATTGGCGGGTCGAGTCCGGCGGACAGGACAAGGTTTGAAGCTCCCCAAACAAAAGGTGGGGACCAGATCAGGGGGGTCTAGATCGGCTACCTGTTCATTTGATGTGTAGGGGGAAAACTGAGGGAATGTGTGGGAAAGTGTTTTGCGCTTTCTGCCGTTGATCTTCGCAAAATCTAGAAAATTTCTTTCATATGCAAATTCAACTTTAACTTTAGCTGTCTTTGTTGTTGTCTGGTAGATCTTATGTTGAATTTGTAAAATCTTTGTGTACCGTCTAGATGTAAATGTTTTGCCTTGTATCAAGTGTTTGGAGCCTTCGTTCTTTGTCGATGTGTGGTGATGTGTTGTGACCTACACTTAAAAACTTAGACCTTCCTTTGAACAGGTTTTGCGTGGCTTTCGCTTTGTGCTTTGAACTTCCTTTATGTTCCTTTGAAAAGGTTTTGCGTGGCTTTGTCGCTTTCCGCCGGACATCACGTCATGACATGCGATCATGCAATCATTATATATGTTTTTTTTACTTCGCCGGACTTTGCAAAACAAGATGCAAAATATTGAGCTTGCTAAGTTTAGATTATATATATGATGTTCACTGCTTTTCAATAACTTCTAAAGCAAAGCACACAAACACTAAGTAAATGTCGGACGCCATTCGATTTGCTTGGGAAGCGCTATGGGTTCCTCAAACGAGTCACGATGCTCTCCATAAACGCACCTGGCAAGCACAAGCCAGGAACAAATGAAGCGTTGAAAGTAACAAATGCAACAATGCACTCATGCACTCTCCGGCGCTGCTCATGCAACTCACTACAACAAATTCAATTTGACCGCAACAAATGAAGCCATGAACAAGTACACAACTCAAAGCAAAGATGAGACAACCAAGTTGTTGTTTTTCTATTTTGCTTGCGCCTGTTGTAGGCGTTTCAAGGATCCATGATGGCTCAGAAATGTCCGGCGGAAGTGAATTATATTCTTCTTACTTTAAGAGGCTATTCAACTTCTTTGACTGGTACCTTTCTGAGCCACCACTTTAAAAACGTCCGGCGGAAGACCCTAGAACCTCACTTGCCATCACTGCCAGCGGCTCAGCTCCTCTTCCATGGTGAAGCATATGATTCCATCTCCTGTCCTGAGATAAACAACAAGATGAGATGCATTTGCAAGGCTTAGCAACTGCTCATGTCAATGATAGGACAATAACTAGTCAATGAATGCGCAACTCCCCAAAAGCAGCCAAGTTTCTGGCCATTTCCCATTTCTCGTGCACCATTTTCGCACACACTGCATTCGGGTTGCGCCAGCGGTGAGACGGACGGAGATGAGGACTTTGTTGATTGAGACATTGCGTAGCAAAGTCGCGCGCGAAGCGCTGTCCGGCGTCGGAATATTTGTAGAGGTTGAGCATGCCCTGAGATGTCACACAAGGAATCAATGCTCACATGTACAGCAAAGAATCAATTCTACAGGCAGTCAACAAGTTTCAATGGCTGGCCCAAGACATCACACATTGGAACTAGATGTCATGCAAGTCATATGTGCATTCATCATATGTTTCTATTTGAGATTTGATAGTTGCAGACAGTTGGCGATCCACGCGTTGCGGTCGAAGTTGAAGTTCAGGAAGATGGTCGTGATCTCATAGTCCAACTCCCAGAACTCATCCCGCACCTCCAGTCGCAAGTGCTTCAAAGATGTGATGATATGCACATGAAATGTTGCAGCAACACAAATGGCTGACATACAAATTCCATTTACATACCAGCCTTCTCGTCCGGCGTCTTCTCCTTCCACTCTTCAGTCCTCTCTTCCTGACGCCAAGACCTCCAGGTGACATCACTCCACTGCCACTCCTGCCATTCCATCTCCTGCTTGAAGTCGTCCAAGAACTTGGTCACTTCCTCATCCTGCATCGTCCATGGGAGGTCACGCTGTCTGTTGAAGCAACAAACTATCAATCAAGATGACACAGCAGTTTGACACAAGAAGATCAAAAGGGCCACAATATATTGTGAATGAAAGCTATAGCTAAGACTTTGTGAACATGATGGCAGAGACCAGATGCAGCCCAACACATAGGCCAAAGCCAAGCAGCAGGTCGCCGACCTATGTCTCCCTTGAGTGCCTCACATCAAGCCAGGAAAAGACTAGAGCGAGGAAGTTCCAACAACCTTTTTAGTAGTGAACAATTTGCGCAGCCCGGATACATATAATCTGAAGGATCAACTGGTGTTTCCTTTGGTGCCGCTTGCAGTGGGACATGCAAATGTCATAGAGCAGCTCCAGGACCAAGCGAGCGCCAGGCTGCCAGAGGATCTCCTTCAAGGACCACACATCCCTGAGGATATTGCCTATCAGGGCCAGGACACCAATTCAAACTTTCCTCCACAGAATCATTTGATTTGTTGATTCATTCAATCAATGTGTTCACAACTCGTCCGGCGGTCAACAAGTTTCAATGGCTGTCCAAGACATCCACAATCACAACAGTGACTACCACCTTGACTCAAATGCAACAAAGGCGCCGCTATGGTTTCCTCCCTGTTCATTGGCCTGCCACTGCTCGAAGGTGTCTGCAGGATTCTCCCAAAGCTCGCGAACATCAAATTGAATTTGAGTGCTACCACGGAATTTGCCTAGGCCCCAACAAACAGTTTGCACACCGCTCAACTGACCAATTTCAGTGACATGCAGCTCACAACAAATCCACCGACAATCACAAAGCGCCCAAGGCACGTTTGTAGAATCCTGGAAGACACTCGTGCCCCTTCTGCCAATCTCCACGTCCTGATGTTCTAGAACAAATGAACAGACCGTTATAGAATACTTGCCTGCATGTCACTGATACACATCATCAACAGTGAAATGCACACCTTCCCATTCACGCTGAGATACCTCGAATGTCATAGGTTCTGTCAGCGCCCCAAGCCACCAGAATGATGTCCGCGCAATCATTCGCAGGCGTGGCTGGAGGGTGAGGTTCTGGATGTGTTTGCAGCGTGGTTCGCTCAAGTAACTAGCAAATGTTCTGTCAGTCAAATTGACAAATCTTTGATTGATCTGATTCATTGGAATGGTGATTGAAGAGGTGTTAGTCCGGCGTCCAACATCACGTCAATGCTTCATGCAATGTTTCAATATGTTTCAATG